AGTTGGCCGGAGGGGCAGTCAGGTAGCCTAGTGGTTAAAGCGTTCGCTCGTCACGCCGAAGGCCCGGGTTCGAATCCCGACATGGGTACAATGTGTGAAGCCCATTTCTGGTGTCCCCCGCCATGATATTGCTGGAATATTGCGTAAAACCAAACACACTCACTCACTCACTCAATTGGCCGGATACCATTTCTGTATCGAATATAAGTCGTACATTGTATTGTCTGGCTTGACAATTACGCTCAGTTACATATATGAACATATATGAACACGTTACACATAGTGTGCCCGACTTCATGTGTGTTCCTCTGTTCACGTGTCAGGGTCACAAGACTCTTTTGGAGTGTTTCATCCCAGTCAACGAAGCTTTGTGTTATGACACCAGACAGTGTTACTTAATATGGTTCTGTATCGCTGTTTAGCTCCAGCTTCCTCATGCATATTCTACGGCTGTTGCCTTTATAGGCTAAGGATTTGAGCTCCACCTTCCAACCGTGGGATGAATGCATAGTGTGAGAAAGGAAAAGTTTAAATTTTGTAAATTTTACAATAAATTGTATAATTATAAAACGGCTGTTGCCTTTATAGGCTAAGGATTTGAGCTCTACCTTCCAACTGTGGGGATAAATGCATAGTGTAAGAAAGGAAAAGTTTAAATTTTGTAAATTTTACAATAAATTGTATAATTATAAAACGGCTGTTGCCTTTATAGGCTAAGGATTTGAGCCCCACCTTCCAACTGTGGGATAAATGCAAAGTGTGAGAAAGGAAAAGTTAAAATTTTGTAAATTTTACAATAAATTGTGTAATTATAATACTATTCTATCTCAGTTACTGTATGCCCGCATCAACATTTCTCTAGCCTATTAGCTCTAGAAAGAGATCGCTGTGCAGAGTTGCGTCCCTTGGGCACACCAGAAAGCTATGATTGTGGGTTCGACTCCCGTTTCGCCCCGATTATGTTTCTAGGTTTGTCAGCACCATACCCGTGCTCATGGGTTTCACCGAAGTGGTAAACGTCTGTGACCTGCATCACTTCGGGCTTTCCCCCCACATTAAGCTGACACGCCGTGATATAACACAACTCACTCACTCACTCACTAGAGAATGAGTTGGCTGGGGAAATCAGTGTTTAGCAGGTGTAGGTCGATTGGCATGAAAAGTGTGCATGACCCAGATAGATTGGAGGCGACCATGGCGATGCTATGTGTGTTCGGGTGAATTGTTTCTTAGAAGCTGGAAACCTTTGTTTCAACTTAGGATCCAAAGAAGAATGAGAAATGCATAGAGGAGTTCGGTCTTGACTGCCGTCGAGTTCGGACGTCTTTTGCTTCTCAGCAACTTGTCTAGTGTTATACAACACCCTTGATTGTTTATGATACTTCCTCTTTGGTTCTTTTGGCTTTTGATTTCTCTAGTGTTAGAGTGCATTCAACCTTTTAATTTCTATTTGGTGTTTGCTGATTGTTACAGTCAGTTGTTGGGGATTGTCCTCGGCAATGGCTGACAACAGAATGGAATGTGAGGAATGATTTAAAGTGGTGGCTTCAGGGAGGAAGCGAATCGGCCGTATTCCAGATGGTACTTCTAAAAAAGCCTGTGTTGCCAAGCAACCAAATACTGTTTCTCCTACTGCAAGGTCTGATCTCACTTTTGTCTTTGATGAGCCAGCGCGGGTCAAATCAACCACTGTTATCTTCAAAGCCAATGTAGATGAATATGATGATGGTTCAACGACCCTCTGTCAACTTATGACACAGCGTGCTTTGGCTAGAGCCTTGGCTAAGATCACTACAGAAATAGTCAGTGTTAAGCGGATGGCCAGGGGAGATGTTAGTGTCACTGCAAAAACCGTTGAGGCTGCCAAAACACTTTTGCAAGTCACAGAACTTGATGAACATTTTGTCACCCCTCATGAGCCTGAATCCTTAATGAGAACACGTGGAGTCATCTATGGTATTGATCTGGATATTGAGATGAATGAAATTGAGGACGAGTTGAAACCTGTGTTACCTCTAATGTGCTCTGCTGTGCGTCTGACTCGTGGGCCTGATAAAGTTCCCACCAAATCTGTTCTTCTTACCTTTACTGGCCAGTCTTTACCAGATCATGTTGTCATTTTCTTCCAGAGATTTCCAATCCGGATATATGTTCCTCCTGCTCTTCGATGCTTCAAGTGTCAGTCCTTTGGGCATGTCTCTGCTAAGTGTAGAAGCACTCATCATGTGTGCGCTAAATGTGAAGGGAAGCACAAATACGAGGAGTGCAATGAAAGTTCCCTTAAATGTAAGAACTGTGGTGGTGCACACTCTGCGGCATATAAAGGTTGCATTAAATACCAGGAAGCTGTCCAGATTCAGAAAGTCCGAGTGGAGGGTAAGTTGTCTTATTCTCAGGCTGTTCGACAGGTGCGTGGAGATTTTGATGTCGCTCAGGTTCCAGCAGTCCCTAAGCCACCTCCTGCAGCTAAACCACTGTCTCAGGTTGTTACAATTTCTGATGTTGTGTCTTCTCCAGTCATGGTGACTGCTAGTACTCAGACTGAGACTCTTGAAGTTGAATGTCAGACTGATCCTGTTGTTGACATCATGCCTGAATCATCTTGCAAACCTCTATTTAACAATGTCTCTCCTGTTGACTTTCTCAACTTTGTTATTTGTATAGTTGCTAATCTTGGCTCTACTCGTGCATTCAAGTCTGATGGTCTTCAGATGATAGCGTCAGCTGCCCAGTCCCTTTTGGGGTTAAGATTGTCCCCTGATGATCTGACGAGCATGGTTAAGGGTCAACAATGGAAGTCTTAATCCATCCTTCTTATGGATCTCTTGATGCGAGATCACTCAGTGCTAACGGTCCAGGATTTAAAGTTTGTATTAAGTCTTGACCCAAAGCCAGATGTTTTGTCTTCGGGAGACATTCTTAACTCCTAACCAGCAATTCCGTTGGGAAGGTTATGTCTGCCTACGTAAAGATCGTCAGTTTGGTTTTACAGGTGGTAGTGCTAAACTCACTCACTGTCGTTTAGTGAAATAAGGTTCCACCATCCCAATTACAAGGGAATGAAGTCATTATTCATTAGAAGGATACAAAATCAGTCTCCATTTTTAATGTCTATAATAATGATATTGCTATCTATGATGACCATAGGTCTCTGTTGAATATGTCAGCCAATCTTAAGGTAGTGTGTGGTGCTTTTAAAGCGTGTGGCAGTTTCACTACTCTATGAACTATCTAGGTACTTAGCAAACCTTTATTATGGGCAAGGTGTAAATGGGCCTAGTTGCCCGAACACCTTTAAAACTTTCTAAAAATCAATCAATCAATCAATCAATCATAGTGTAAGATAGGATAAATATACTAAACAACAAAAGCTCCTGTGACATTGAATAAGATTTAATGCAAAGTTATGTTTTTTTACCAAATCTGAAACAATTTCGGTTTGCAACAGACAAAAAGACTCCTGTAAGTGTTCAAATGGTTTAATTTGCCACACTGACTTCAGGAAATGCGTGATTTCATAAAAAAAACCATGAAAATGCCAAAATGTCAATTTACAAATCAATCGCGTGTGTGTCCACCTCTGGTTGCGATGCAAGCAACACATCTTCGTCTCATGGAATTGACCAGGCGTCGCACAAAGTCCTGTGGGATATCTGTCCATATCTGCTGGAGCATGTTTCGAAGTTCCTGGGTTGTCTGTGGAACACGTGGTTGACGTCAAAGGCGCCGATCCATCTCACCCCACATGTGCTCGATTGGTGAGAGATCAGGGGAGCGAGCCAGCCAGGGGATGACATTCACATTGTTTTGTTGAAGAGAATCCTGAACAAGTCGAGCAATTTGAGGCCGGGCGTTGTCATGTTGAAAGGCAATGCCTGGGCCATGACGACGCAAAAACGGTGCTTGACGGTGGTTTCCTGTCAAAATGGGACGTCTGGTGGGTCTTCTGGCGACAATCCCTGCACATCTGAGGTGACGACGTGCGGTTTGTGAAGATATTCGTCGATGGCCAGGGATGCTTCTTGCAGTCACTGTTGCTGGCTGGAATCGATTTCGTAGGTGTGTTGTTCGAATCCAGTTGTCTTGTCGATTTTTGGTTACGCGTAGCCTGCCACTCCGAAGATGGTCTCTGACTGCATTCGTCTGTTGCCAACGTTGCCATTAACATCAAATGGTGTTTCTGTGGACGTTAAATGTTCTTGCAACATCACGTTGACTCGATCCTGCTTCAAGCATACCAATGGCTCGCAGACGCTCATTTTCAGACAGGCGTGGCATTTCGTAATGTTGAATAATTGCGTAATTTTGTTGTTTTTCTGAGTGGTGGTGTGCAGCACGAAGCTAAACAATGCATATGGAATCCCGTTAACGCACATGTTTTTATACCCATTCTTGGGTAGTGAAATGCATGGGGCTTGCATAAAAGTCAACTTTTGCATGCTTTTCTGTAGCAGTTGCGTTTTTGTGACTGGATTCCATACATGTACCAGAATATTGAAAACCAAACTTTACTTGTTTGAAAAATACACTAAAATATTGGTGTCACAGGAACCTTTGTTGTGGAGTATATTTTAAATATTCATTATCTACAAATTACCATTATTAGTATTATCATTATTAAAGCAAGAGTTAAATCAAAACATGATAAACGACAGGTTCTTTTTAAGTGTAATTATTTTTAGTACAGACACTCAGAGATGTGGGGCGGTCAGGTAGCCTAGTGGTCAAAGCGTTCGCTCGTCACGCCAAAGACCCGGGTTCGATTCCCGACATGGGTACAATGTGTGAAGCCCATTTCTGGTGTCCCCCGCCGTGATATTGCTGGAATATTACTAAAAGCGGCGTAAAACAATACTCATTCACTCACTCAGAGATGTTTTTGCGTTGTCCTGGACCAGTGAGAAAACAACAATGTCGACTGATCACAGTTCAATCTTACAATATTATAAATATTTCCGGTATGATCTACCAGTAGATCCAACTAGCAACAGCTGATTAACCTGATAACATAACGATGTCTCATTGTCATATGAGGCACTCATCTCGACCTACATTGAAAACAGGCATGTGACAACCCACTCTTATCACAACTGCACATGACTAACCCCTTATCACAGCTGCACTTGACTACCCCCTTATCACACCTGTAGAAATATTACCAGGCCACAGTCCAGTCATCACATGCTAGGACTGGGCGTTGTTTGCAGCAAATGCGCAGTGAGTATACACGTTCTTGATACATTATTGGTATGAAATAATATGTTATATGTCAGCTTCAATATCATATTAAAGTACAAATGGTCTTCTTTTATGAATAACATTGTCAGCATAAGTGACTCAAATATCACATGAGCGGCGATCATGAGGCCTAGTTTGTTGAAAACTTCTGACATCAAGAATTGGAGAAACAAACACAATCTGGAAAATCAGGCACTTTAGGGCTGCCCTGAATCCATTCAGTCAGTGGATGGGCAGGTCAGGCAGGCAGAGGTTTAAATGCTGCTGACAGGACTCAGAAGTTTTCAATAAAAGTTATTTATTGTACAGCTGCTGACCACTCATGTTGCAGGATCCCGAGGACACCAGCAGTTGGATGTCAATCACTGACCACTCATGTTCTGAAGGTGCTGAGGACAACAGCAGTTCAATGTCAAGTATTGATGCACTTTGAAAGCAATTTGTATTGTACCCAAGCCTTTTCCTAGACAAGCCTTTATCCACAGCCGACCAAATATGTTGTGATGTTGAATGAAGCTGGACTTATTAATTGCAGTATAATGTTTGTTTGTTTGTTGTTTAAAGCCGAACTCAGCAAAATTCCAGCTATATGACAGCGGTCTGTAAATATTCCAGTCTGGACCAGACAATCCAGTGATTGACTGCATGATCCACGCAATTGGGATGCAGTATAATGACTATAAACTACTCATTTGTTGCGCAATTCCACTCGTTTACCCTGACTCTCCTCAAAATATCCTAAATGATTTATAAGAGTGAAATATATTGTTTATATCCAGTTGTGACTTATTATCTCACACTTAAATCATTTCCCGCTTCAAATAAAACCCTGCCCGAACACATCCCCGCCATAACCATGGTCCCACCAGATGTTGCAATGCATGGACCTCGTGCTGCCTGACGTGACCTGCCCTGCCACCTTATTCTCTTTCTCTTCACTCTTGATTGGCCGGAATAATGCTAAAAGCGGCATAAAACCAAACCTACTCACTCACTCACTCACTCTTGATTGGAGATTATTCTGCAGGAAAATCAAACTTATCTCTTAAATATTTTAGTTATCTATTGAGTTTTTGTTATCGTGAAAAAAAAGTTTGTGACCGCTGTAAACTGACATTTTCTGGTGACCTGCATTTAAATGAGAAAATGTGCTCAAAAACTATGTCTGATGAACAAGGACTGTTGGCAGCCAAGAAAGCCAAAATGTCTACAAAGAAGGCAGTATGTTCGGGTTTGGCGAAGGGCTATACCTTTGTTGATGATCTGTCACTCTCCCTAGAAGAAGGTTCTGACTCTTTCTTAACGCCTAACGTACCTTTGGGAATCATCTGTAATGTCTTCATCGGTTGTTATTAGATTGGAGAATCCAGCTATTGTCACGTCTTCGGCTTCTGATCGCGACGACTTGCCACACAACCATTACACGTTCGATGAGGGACAAATTGGAGCATCGGTTAGAGAGTCCCAGGGATGTAGATGGATAAGTCCAACGGTCGTCAGGAGCAATGTGTCAATGAACCTTGAAGGGGATTGGAACAGGTTCCATGATCAGACATGGGGCATCAGGATCGTCAAACCCCTATATCATTCAACGAACCTTCACCCGGAGGATCGGCAGAGGTTCCACGATTCGACCTGCAGGAGTCATAGAAGGACGGCTCAGTACAATCACACAAGGTTTTGAAGGAGGACTTGCACTTCAAGAATGCTAACTTTCATGGGAACAAGCATCAAGGTCAGGGAGGCTGGAGTCTGATGGCCACATTCTCGAGAAACACCACTTCAGTCAAAGATCTGATGACAAAAGGCGATTCAGCAACATGTGCTGACGCCTCAACTCAATGACATGTCAAATGTACAGCACAGCACAACTGGAACATTCCACCCCTAGTGTACAATACACCAGTAGGTGGAAGACTTGGAACTTTTGCATCCAACTTGACAATACTGGATGACCCTTACGTATCAACACTCCTGACAGGCTGCCACTAAGACCAACGCCCCAATTCGCCAGGCAAGTTCCAGCTCCATGTGACACAATAGGTACATTGTTAGACAAGCATGCCATAGAATCATTAGGTCTCAATGTCAGGTCCATGAGATTTTACCCAAGCAGGCAAGATGTTCGTTAAATGGGACAGATGGGTGAAGATACAGTCACAAGTACCATTGGTACTAAACAATCTCGGACATTTCGTCAGTGGCAAGAAGTTTTAGGTCTCCTAACTTCTGCCCAGGCTCTCACGGCAAGAGGTGAGCTGCAACTTCGGCTATCACAGAGGGTGCTGCAGAAGATTCAACTCCTGACGTCGTTGCAGCATCACCTTCATTGAGGGCTTTATGCAACAAAATCTATTTGATGCCAACACCTTCTCGTCGAGGCCTGGCGATGGGGAGCTCATTCCATGTTGCTGGGTGATGGTCGACAGACAAACAAAGCTTACATATCAACAATCTTGAATTCCAAGCTGTGGTGTTGTAACCCACTGGGCAGCGATACTACATTCCTCACAACTGATGATCCAGTCGGACAATGCGTCAGTCGAAGGGTACATAAACAAGATGGGATCAACAAAATCTGCATCACTCCTTCACACGATGATCCAGTTCTTCAAACTGATTGACTCGCTTTCTACGATCATGAGGGTAAAGCATTCAAAGAATATTTCAAGGCTCGAAACATTCGTTCCCCTACTACAGCATCACCAGAGCAGACAGATAAATATCTTCAGCACTTGAGAAGTTTGAGGTAGTTGAAAGGTTCGATACTTGCAACTGCAATCCTTACGATCATACAAGCTGGTCCACCAATCTTCCAAGTTCAGACCACCAGCATGGTATTTGAATGTCATCTTACGAAAATTTGTCATCTGAGGATTATGAACCGTTGGCTGATGAAGACTTTGAGCACATTTCACTCAAAACCATCTTTTGGCTAGCATTAGCCACAGCACTGGAAGTCAACAGGGTATTTTTTTAGAGGAAGCGTCATGGTCAACTCCCAGGAAAGCCAGCCAGATTATATGATATTCCTCCGCTGCATACAATTTTACTCGCAGACGATCAGGAAGATAGTTCACTCTACCCAGATATAGCTCTCAAGGTCTACCTTCAAGTGTCGAAAGATCTGAGACGATGATGCAAGCGTCTGTTCATCCTGTTGTCGACAACTTCAACCACTTAGTATCTTTGACCTTTGTGTCCTTTAGGTTGTGTTCGCTCATCCTTCAAGCATATACCCATGAGGCATTTTACCACCTCAATTGGCATCTAAACCGCATGAGAGTAGGAGAATGGCGTCAACCATGGCAGTTCATACCAAGTGTACCTAAACGGCTATCATGGAAGATTGCCTTTAGAAATTGGATGCGTTGTTTGCCTCACACTATGGATATTCGGGTTTCCAGGGTCTGCATCAGTTGAGATCACTTGTACTGGCTCAACATTTGACTGCAGCCTGTCGGCCCAGATGAGGAAGTCATCCTCATAAATACAACACCATCCCGGACTTGATCGTGTTGTCAAATTTTGTACATAATGAAATAAAGTCTGTTTCTATTAGTTACTCAGGTTACCAAGACTTGAATTTCCTGTGGAGGGATGATAATCGTCTGTAGAGACTTCTAGGCTACAACATGGAACCCACCACTCGCTATCCTCTGCTCCAGGAGTGTTGTTAGTCTGGGTGGTTGGTTTGAAGTGCCTTAGAGGTTGTGTCGATAGTTCCTCTTCTTGTTCATGCTTGATCAACCTCTGCGTAATTGATTGGTTGAACAAAGCGTCAGTAGACATTCCAAACTGTTCGCCTTACGTCTGTATGATGTATGGGTCAGTTTGAATAACGTCACTTCTGTACCAGAGATGAACAAAAGTCTGGTTGCACTCTCTAGCATCTGGGGTATGTTACAAGACATGGCTAAACGAGTTTGCCCTTGTTTCATGCTACTCGGCAGTTCCTTGGAACAATGTGCGAAGACACAGAACACATGTTACTCGACATTATGATAGTTTGTCCTGGTAGCACAAAGGGGCTTAGAAAAACCCACACACGCGTTCTCATCAGGACGAGCTCAGATAATGTGACAATCTTTTATTGGGCAGTTCTAGGACCAACTCCCTCTCATTCAGGTCTGTTTCAGGCTTGGGTATCTGCGCCCCACCCTCCAACCATGGGGTAAATTCAAAGAGTGAGATGGTATAAGTAATATTAATATACAATTTACTGTATAATTTACAGATTTAATATAATTCATCCTATCGCACACGAAAAACTCGAACCCAACCATCCCAGCCTCTCAATTATGCAAGCCTACATACTCTCTTCAAACGAGTTGGGAGGACAGATCATGTGGTCAGGTAGCCAAGATCCATGTTGTGCAACAGCTAGTGGTGATAGTTGGGATGTGTTCGGGTGAGGTGTTTTTTGAAGCTTGAAACGGGTTCAAGAATCGTTTCCACTCTACGATCGGCTTAGAACAGAGAAATGTTAGATGGGATAAGTATTATAAATAAACAATTTTCAGAACATTTTACATATAAATCTACTTGTGTATGGTATATTCTTTGGGCAAACATTTTTCCATTTGTATAATTCAGGATAAGCAGACACATAACCTAACCAGTCCTTTGATCAGTGTGGAAGCCAATTAGTGCCACATTCCAAAAGTACCACAGTCACCTAATGAGTATATAAACAAAAACATTCTTTACAAGTAATCCAGTTGTATGTATCGGTTGAAAGTAAAATCAGTGATTGTGAATTATATTAAAATAGTTTGTTTGTTCAGATGGACCTGACAGTAGCAACTTCATCCCTGCATAACATAGCTGTGTAAAGACCTTATACTGAGATGGCCAGTTCAAGTGATGTGACAAGTGTGGCCTTGACACAGGAGGAGGAGGACCTTGAAGACCAGACGATTGAGGTCATCAGCTCAGGAGGTATTCCGCTGAGAGACAGCTCTGGTACGTTATCATTTCCATCTCATAAAATATAGAATCAAGTAGCCCAGTTTCATGACCTCAATTAATCCAGAAATACTTATTTAGAACAACATGACCCCAACACATGAACCCATCCATAAAGCATTGTACTTACACATGAATGTCGGAATCTGAGTGGCTGAGACCCATTCTACTAATGTCACTGTACCCCGCCAACATGTAAGGAACAGTTCTTTTTGTTTTTAGATGAAGTTAATAAATTTGAACTTGAATTAAATGGAAGCAATCTTAACAATTTGATATCAGTTCTGTTGTATACTTCTCCATGACACTGTGTATGATCAGTCTAAGGCTGTTATAGAATCTTTGTTCTTTATAAAAAGTAAAATTTTGTTTCATTTGCTCATATCAGTTAAATGGCACACAAGTAGACACAACCCATGCTATGCTTGTTGTAAGAGGCGACTAACGGGATAGGGTGGTCAGGCTTGCTGACTTGGTTGATGTATGTCATCTTATCCAAAATGCGTGGAAAGATGCTCATGATATTAATCACTGGATGATCTGGTCCAGACTCCATTATTAAAGACTGCTGTAATATAGCTGGAATATTGTTGAGTGCAGCATTAAACAACAAACAAACGAACTATACTATTAATGTGACGGCGGCCTGTAAATAATGTGAGTCTGTGCCATGGCCTCATTGATCCACACTGTCGGGGTACAATGATATGCCTTTCAACCAAGATATTACATTAAGTCGCCTCTTACAACCAGTACAGGTTGTCTGGGACCAATTCTAACCTAGAACTCGCATGGTGATAGTAAATACGATACAACACATGACCATTCAACAGTTAGCAACGTTTGTTAGACACATGAAACTTGTTCCATAAAGATTTGAATTTGAATGATGACTGATAGCAATTAAAGCTATCTGCACATGTTATCCCGTAGAAGGTGAGCTATGAGGTTATTGCCCTGCTTTTGATTATTTGTTATTATTCAGCAGTTTAATGCATTTGTGTCACTGAAATGTTGATAGGTGATGCCCCTAAGGCCATCACTCTCGTCCAGACACAGAACATATTTACTGGACCAACTCCTGCAGGGACAGTTGGTGAAGGTAGGTAATGCCATGTCAGTTTCTGTCAGATCTGATATCAAAATATTTTCTGCATGAATACCGAGGGCCAAAAACTGGCACTTTTAACTAAATATGATGTCATCAGTAGTAGAAAATTACATGCCAAAGTTAAGCTTCCTCAGTGTGGCAATTTCAGAGAAGAAATTTACAGAGCCAAAAATACTGGATCAGACTCTGGACTCTGGAGCCTATGTCAAATAGGTTTTAAAACCACATAGCTGTCAGAGCATAAGTTCTTTTAACATAATGTCATAAATAAATCATTTAATGACGGTTGCCTTCATTTGCAGCTACCCTTGACCTTCAAATAAGTGATGCTGAAGAAATCTTTGTGGAAACGGAGAGCTTCAGGACAGTAAAACAAAAACTGAAGCAACATGGCCATGTCACCATCTGTGGTGCTTCAGGAGAAGGCAAAACAACAGCAGCTCTCAAGCTTGGTTCTCAGTATAGAAAAAGGGGGTACAAACTTGCATTTGTGGACAGAATTGAACAGTTTGACTTGGACAGCTTCTTGAGTTCTTCACCTAGAGTATTTCTGATCATAGATGATATGTTTGGTACTGTTAGATTAACGACAGATGTTTCACAGCTGAAAACATTTCTCAATAGGCTTGATAGACACTTAAAACACTGCACAAAGGATATTCGTGTTGTCTTCACATCCAAGACATACAACTTCCATGATGGACTTGCTCAGCTGCAGTATGAAAGATTCTCGCTGTTTGAGGGACAAACACTGGTGGATTTAACCACTGAAAAGAAACACAGATATACTCAAGCAGAGAAACAGGCTATATTTGAGCACCACAGGGACATACATAGAGACCATTCTGATGAGGACATACCAGACTTCGAACTGTGGGAGATGGATTCCGATATCTTTGGATTTCCTCTCACTTGTAAACTTATTTTTGACTTTTCATCCATTTTCCAAAATAGAAAGAAATTTTTCAAGGAACCACTGTTTTATCTTAGGCAAGAGCTCAGAAAATTACTGAGGGCGAAAACTGATCGATCAGCCATATTAGTTCTGATGCTGCTAGGTGAAGATAGGTTAGATTTGGCCAAGTTGGAAGCAGACGGCAAGGACAAGAAACTGGACAACATGGTCAGAACTGTTTTAGAGTTGCTGCCATCAGCTTCACGTTTAGGAATGTACGAAGCAGCAAAGTGTCTTAGAGGAACATTCTTTACACGTGGTGATGCTGTTGGATTTGCCCATTCTTGCATATATGATGCTTGTGCTTGTTCGTTGTATGACATCAGTCCAACATTTGTGCTGACTCACTGCAGTGATAATTTCATATATGAACGAGTACAACCACATCCTGTGGAGGAAAGCAAAACTGACGAGCATCTCCACCTTATATATGTCTCTGAACAGTATTATGACATCCTGACCACTCGACTTGCAGAATCGATAAAGCTTGGGCAGTTTTCTAAATCAGTGACACACCCCATCCTCCGACAAGAAAAGGTGGCTCTTCAACTGCTTGACAAACTACACCGTGATAGATCCATGGCCAAGAGTTGGTTTCACAAAAGTGACAAGGGGAGGTGCTTTTTGTTTTGGGCTGTTCTTGGACACAATGAAAAGTTTGTCTTAGAAATCGAAAATATAACTGGAGGAGAATTTACTCTAACAGAGATCAGTGAAGGCACGATTGGTTGTGTTCGCAACAACAACCTGGCAGTACTGAAGTGGCTCTTCTCCAGGACTGAACTTCCACACATTGATTTTGCCAAGAACACGTTGCTTTGGCTGGCTGCTCAAAGCGGGAGTTCTGAAACACTTGTTTATCTGATAGAAAATGGTGCCAATGTGTTGGTTGCTGATGAAGACATGATAAACATTATACACTTAGCATGCAGGTTTGGACATAAGAAAACACTAACAGTACTGAAAGAACACACCAGCAAAGTCTTTACTGATGAAGTGAAGCAAGGTCTAATGAACTCTACTGATGACGAAGGGATGACTCCACTAATGGTTGCAGCAGGCATGGGATCTTACGACTGTTATCAGGTGTTGCAATCAATATCTAACAAGAAAACCAAAGACAAATATGGAAATCTTTTAATTCACCTGGCCTGTGAGGGTGGAAACAAGGCCATAGTACAACATCTTGTGTCACCTTCTAACATCAATATCACGGGAAACAATGGACGCACTCCAGTAATGATGGCAGCTGCCCAAGGACATCAAAGTGTGTTTGACCTCCTGGTATCCAAGCAAGCTGACCTGACACTGGTGGACAAAGATGGTAATAGTGTCCTTCATCTTGCCTGTTTGGGTGGAAACAAGGCCATAGTACAACATCTTGTGTCATCTTCTAACATCAATACCAGGGGATACGATGGACGCACTCCAGTAATGATGTCCGCTCTCAAAGGACATCAAAGTGTGTTTGACCTCCTGGTATCCAAGCAAGCTGACCTGACACTGGTGGACAAGAGTGGCGATAGTGTCCTTCATAATGCCTGTTTGGGTGGTAACAAGGCCATAGTACAACATCTTGTGTCATCGTCTAACATCAGTACCAGGGGACACAATGGACGCACTCCAGTAATGATGGCAGCTGTCCATGGACATCAATGTGTGTTTGACCTCCTTGTATCCAAGCAAGCTGACCTGACACTGGTGGACAAATATGGTAATATTGTCCTTATTCATGCCTGTTGGGGTGGTAACAAGGCCATAGTACAACACCTTGTGTCACCTTCTAACATCAATACCAGGGGACACAATGGGGGCACTCCAGTGATGATGGCAGCTGTCAAAGGACATCAAAGTGTGTTTGACCTCCTGGTATCCAAGCAAGCTGACCTGACACTGGTGAACAAGAGTGGTGATAGTGTCCTTCATCTTGCCTGTCAGGGTGGAAACAAGGCCATAGTACAACATCTTGTGTCACCTTCTAACATCAATACCAGGGGACACGATGGACGCACTCCAGTAATGATTGCAGCTGTCAAAGGACATCAAAGTGTGTTTGACCTCCTGGTATCCAAGCAAGCTGACCTGACACTAGTGGACAACGATGGTGACAATATACCTCATCATGCCTGTGAGGGTGGAAACAAGGCCATAGTACAACATCTTGTGTCACCCTCTAACATCAATACCAGGGGAAACAATGGACACACTCCAGTAATGATGGCAGCTGCCCAAGGACATCAAAGAGTGTTTGACCTCCTTGTATCCAAGCAGGCTGACCTGACACTAGTGGACAATAGTGGTGAAAGTGTCCTTCATCATGCCTGTGTGGGTGGTAACAAGGCCATAGTACAACATCTTGTGTCACCTTCTAACATCAATACCAGGGGAAACAATGGACGCACTCCAGTAATGATGGCAGCTGTCCATGGACATCAAAGTGTGTTTGACCTCCTGGTATCCAAGCAGGCTGACCTGACACTAGTGGACAAATATGGTAATATTGTCCTTATTCATGCCTGTTCGAGTGGTAACAAGGCCATAGTACAACACCTTGTGTCAGCTTCTAACATCAATACCAGGGGATACAATGGGGGCACTCCAGTGATGCTGGCAGCTGTCCAAGGACATCAAAGTTTGTTTGACCTCCTGGTATCCAAGCAAGCTGACCTGACACTGGTGGACAAGAGTGGTGATAGTGTCCTTCATCATGCCTGTTTGGGTGGTAACAAGGCCATAGTACAACATCTTGTGTCATCTTCTAACATCAATACCAGGGGACACAATGGACAGACTCCAGTAATGATGGCAGCTGCCCAAGGACATCAAAGTGTGTTTGACCTCCTGGTATCCAAGCAAGCTGACCTGACACTAGTGGACAACGATGGTGACAATATACTTCATCATGCCTGTGAGGGTGGAAACAAGGCCATAGTACAACATCTTGTGTCACCTTCTAACATCAATATCAGGGGACACCATGGACGCACTCAAGTAATGATGTCCGCTCTCAAAGGAGATCAAAGTGTGTTTGACCTTCTAGTATCCAAGCAAGCTGACCTGACACTGGTGGACAAAGATGGTAATAGTGTCCTTCATCTTGCCTGTGCGGGTGGTAACAAGGCCATAGTACAACATCTTGTGTCACCTTCTAACATCAATACCAGGGGACACCATGGACGCACTCCAGTAATGATGTCCGCTCTCAAAGGACATCAAAGTGTGTTTGACCTCCTTGTATCCAAGCAAGCTGACCTGACACTAGTGGACAACGATGGTGACAATATACTTCATCATGCCTGTGAGGGTGGAAACAAGGCCATAGTACAACATCTTGTGTCACCTTCTAACATCAATATCAGGGGACACCATGGACGCACTCCAGTAATGATGTCCGCTCTCAAAGGAGATCAAAGTGTGTTTGACCTTCTAGTATCCAAGCAAGCTGACCTGACACTGGTGGACAAACATGGTAATCATGCCCTTCATATTGCCTGTGAGGGTGGAAACAAGGCCATAGTACAACATCTTGTGTCACCTTATAACATCAATACCGGGGGAATCGATGGATTGACTCCACTTGTGATGGCAGCTCTATCAGGTCATAAGAGTGTGTTTGACCTCCTCATATCAAGGAATGCTGATCTGACTCAATGGATAGCAATACTAATAGTTTACTTCATTTTGCCTAAGATTCGGTCAAGTCGGCAATAGTATAATAACTATCACATGCTCACAGTGTTAAACCCAGATGTTACAATGAAACTCAATGTTATCACTCAACGTTGTGAAAGAGGAATTGTTCAAGATCTGTTTCTTCTGTGAACTCATTTGGAAAACTGAGTTTTTCTTCAGTTTTTCAAGATGACTTGGATGAGGTGAAAATGAATAGTTGTGTTTTGTCACAATGACTTTGACTTTGCTGTCTACAGAAACATGCAATTGATGTTCATCGAGAGATGTTTGTTTCACTTGCAGATACAAAATATTCATAGTACAGTTTGCTTCGCATGTTAGTGTGACTTAGGCACATGGTTTTGTGAAACAATCTAACCTTGTTTTATATGCTTTTAGAAAATAGCTATATATTTTATTACATCAATGATTTGTGATATGAATACACAATGCTTTGTAGAAAATGGTAATGTATTACCGGTATGAATGAAGATGATTTATCATCAATTGCTTATCATAATGCCTTTTACACACACCATAAGAAATAAGAAATCTATAAAATATGGCATCCATCTTCAATATAATCACTACAACACTTTGTACATACTCCATTAATAACTTCAGTATCCTTAGACCTACGAACTATATTTATTTGAAAATTGTGCAAGAACATTCTGAATTTACAAAATGCTCTTATTGATGCTTTATCTTGTAATATAGTTCAATATTAATCAAGTTGTATCTGAGTCTTGATACCATCACAATTAAAGACAAAATGTAAAGATGTAGCCTGCTAATGGCAATTATGGCGACGTGTCATGTGGTGAACCCTGTGTCTGTGTACATCCATCTTTGCTCATTGCAACCAAATGTTGACAACTAGAAATATATAAAGTACATTGACCATATCGTATGGCGACGTGTCATGTGGTGAACCCTGTGTCTGTGTACATCCATCTTTGCTCATTGCAACCAAATGTTGACAACTAGAAATATATAAAGTACATTGACCATATCGTATGGCGACGTGTCATGTGGTGAACCCTGTGTCTGTGTACATCCATCTTTGCTCATTACAACCAAATGTTGACAACTAGAAATATATAAAGTACATTGACCATATCGTATGGCGACGTGTCATGTGGTGAATCCTGTGTCTGTGTACATCCATCTTTGCTCATTACAACCAAATGTTGACAACTAGAAATATATAAAGTACATTGACCATATCGTATGGCGACGTGTCATGTGGTGAACCCTGTGTCTGTGTACATCCATCTTTGCTCATTACAACCAAATGTTGACAACTAGAAATATATAAAGTACAAGACCAGTGTCACCAAGTATGGCCTTATTTGAAACATGTTTACCAACATTTAAAACATATCTTTGACATCACTCTATTGTAAAAGTGATCCATTATGTTTCATGAATGAACAGTCGGTTAGTTATTCATGCCTCAATATCATTATCTTCAACTAGTCCTGTGAACATTGTGAAGATTCCGAACAGGTCTTCAGAAATCCATGCTTGTCGAAAGAGGCAACTAACGGGATCGGGTGGTCAGGCTCGCTGACTTGGTTGATACATGTCATCGTATCCAAATTGCGTAGATCAATGCACATATCAATCACTGGATTGTCAGGCCCAGACTCGATTATTTAGACCGCCGTCACATATAGCTGGAATATCCCTGAGTTCGGCGTTCAACAACAAACAAAACAAAAATATCTTCAATTAATGTCCACTTGGATTTTTTTATTTTGAAACTTAAGTGAATTTCAATGTTTTAGGAAACTGTTGCAAGCATGATCTGAAGACGTGTTAAAGTCGACCTCGACTATGGCAATAGTGTGTTGTGTTTCATAACTTTGCATATAACAATGTTCATGTTAAAACCATGCATGTGATTGATGAAACACCCGTATAAGGATACCTTGTACCTTGAGTTGTAACGACCAGCTGGTAATGTCGCTTGGTGCAACAGCTTCAGACAACACATTCCATGTGCACCATACAGTATAAATACAATTTCAAAGAATGAGGGTTTATTTTTCCTCAAGTTTGTCAAAGTCAAGAAGTGAGGATGTATTTTAATTTGGAGAAAGTCGGATTGTGTTTTGTAACTCGTGTCGGCTCGTGAAAAAAAGATATTTGTTATTCAGGAACCAACAGTTACTATTTTGTTGTTTCCTTAAGTAAAAAAGCGTTAATTTTTTTGATGGATTAGCAATACTTGTTTCCCCATATTTCGGATGTATATTATGAAGCAGGCACAATTTTAGTCAAATGTAGTGGAGGCTGTAGAAAATGATATCTATACTTATTAGTCTCGTGTAGCTTGAACCATTGTGAAGGCAGATCGTCCATGCGAGTGCAGGGTTATGTAAGGTGGTACACGTCTCGGGTCAGCGCTACATCTTAGGCCCTTTGGGCATAAGTACTTAATTCATTTATATATTTATGTATTGTAAAATTGTTTGTTTGAATGTTTGTAAATAATCAAATTTTGTTGATTAGTAGAATGTATATTGTAAATGTAAATAATGAGTATCAATCGAACCCAGGCCTTCGGTGTTACGAGTGAACGCTTTAACCACTAGGTTACCCCACCGCCCCGTTGTGATGTGAAATAACATGTAATATATACCTGAACCTTTTAGATTGTATATTATAGATATGTTATTGCATTTAATTTGCTGTGGTATAGCACAATGATGGCTATGTTGTACCAGTATTTGAATGTATATGTAAGTAGTATTCGAGTGCAGATGAGAGTGTAGTTTAGCCTAAAATCTTAAGAAATAAGTGTTAGTAGTATTGGTAGTGTAGTGTTATAGTAAAAGTGTAGGGTCATAGTTGTAGTGTAATAGCATTTCTTGTAGGTAAGTAGTTGTGTAGTAGTAGCAGCAGTATATATGTAGTTGTAGGATAGTGTTAGGCCCTTTGGGCATCAGTTCTTCATTCATTTATATATTTATGTATTGTAAAATTGTTTATTTTAATGTTTGTAAATAATCAAATTTTGTTGATTTCTAGAATGTACATTGTAAATGTAAATAATGAGTAAGATTGTAACTGTGCTTTTGTATTTTTCTGCTATTACTATCCCTATTACTATTGCTATTATTAGTACTAGAGGTATAGAATGGGTCTTTAGGAACCCACGCTTGCCATAAAAGGCAACTATGCTTGGCGTAAGAGGCGACAAATGGGATCAGACGGTCAGGCTCGCGGATTTGGTTGATGCATGTCATCAACTGACAAAGGTCAATTCAACGTTTGTTGTGGAGGACAATTTACAAGTGACTAACTGTTGTCATTATAGACAATACATTGACTGAGTTCAATTCAACTTTTATCATGGAGGACAAGTGAGTAAGGTTTTACACCACTTTTAGCAATATTCCAGCAATAATATCACAGCCGGAGGACACCCGAATTCGGATTCACACATTGTACCCATGTGGGGAATCGAACCCAGGCCTTCGGTGTTACGAGCGAACGCTTTAACTACTAGGTTACCCCAACGCCCCCTTTGTGATGTGAAATAACATGTAATATATTCCTGAATCTTTTAGATTGTATATTATAGATATGTTATTGCATTTGATTTGCTGTGGTATAGCACAATGATGGCTATGTTGTACCAATATTTGAATGTATATGTAAGTACTATTCGAGTGCAGATGAAAATGTAGTTTAGTCTAAAATCTTAAGAAATTAGTGTTTGTAGTATTGGTAGTGTAGTGTTATAGTAAAAGTGTAGGGTCTTAGTAGTAGTGTAATAGCATTTCTTGTAGGTTAGTGGTTGTGTAGTAGTAGCAGCAGTATATATGTAGTTGTAGGATAGTGTTAGGCCCTTTGGGCATCATTTCTTCATTCATTTATATATTTATGTATTGTAAAATTGTTTATTTTAATGTTTGTAAATAATCAAATTTTGTTGATTAGTAGAATGTATATTGTAAATGTAAATAATGAGTAAGATTGTAACTGTGTTTTTTGTATTTTTCTGCTATTACTATCCCTATTACTATTGCTATTATTAGTAATAGTGGTATAGTATGGGTCTTTAGGAACCCACGCTTGCCATAAAAGGCAACTATGCTTGGCGTAAGAGGCGACAAATGGGATCAGACGGTCAGGCTCGCGGATTTGGTTGATGCATGTCATCAACTGACAAAGGTCAATTCAACGTTTGTTGTGGAGGACAATTTACAAGTGACTAACTGTTGTCATTATAGACAATACATTGACTGAGTTCAATTCAACTTTTATCATGGAGGACAAGTGAGTAAGGTTTTTACACCGCTTTTAGTAATATTCCAGCAATAATATCACAGCCGGGGGACACCCGAAATCGGCTTCACACATTGTACCCATGTGGGTTAAGAAATTAGAAGCTAATAGAAATTATGTAAAAAAAGATTTCTTTCTTTGTAATAAATAATTGATTTAAATTTTCTTTTGGGGTTGTCATTTCTACTTCCTCCAGTGCATGTGGTGTCAGTGTATGTGATCCAAATCATGTGATCACAGCCTGGCACCTTCTCTCAATAAGTGCCTTGCTGGTTGCCAAGGAGTGATTGTTCCACTCTTCAGTGAGAGCAATGCTGATTTCCTGAAGAGTTGCTGGAAGGACAGAGCGTTGTGAAAGGGCAATCTGTCACTCGTTCCACGTGTGTTCGATAGGGTTGAGGTTTGGTGACAGGGCTGGCTCACGTACATATCTCTGTTGCGCACACCTGTCACTGTGCCCCACTGTAGGACATGGAGATCAGTTCTTCCAGCTTTACTGATCCCACCCAAAATCATGATTAAGTCCCCTCCATTGCCGTCATGTTAAGCTTTTTTGGAATACTGAGATCGTTGTCCACGCCACACTCAGGCATGACAATCTGTGAAGTACAATTATAGGTCAGGTTATTTGGTTCATTATGCTGGATAGCCCTGGGAACTGATGCAGGTCAAAATGAAACACTCAGGTATACACTCCAAAATGAAGTAATTTGTAGAATTTCAAGCACATTCAGAAGTCGCTAATGTTCGTATACTTGGGCTAGGGCTGGGACAGGTAACTCCGGTACCCCTATCAAGTGGGGCCTGAGAAGGACTCGGGGATATTTTGTTTGATGACAATAACAATAAAACTCCATGGTTACATTACAAGTTGCTAATGTCCGTATCACTTTCTGACTGTGCACATATTCCTGAATTTTAGGTTTGAGAAAAAATAACATTTCAGTCAACTTCGGTGTATGAATGATCAGATCATATTATACGTCTCACTTTTGTGCCCAACTCTTGAAACCTACAGCAGGTACCCAGCAGGATCGACAAAAAGGGGGTCGGATACCTGGGTGGTATATTTAGACTTGTCCCAACCCTACTAGGGACATATGTAAATGGAAATAAACCACATAACCTTATCAGTCATTGCCCAAGAGGATGTAAACATTAGCTACACTGATTAAGACCATAGTAGAATGAGCATTGATAAACAACTCCAACAGAACAAGGATAAACCATTGTTTATTGAGTGTGTTATGGCATTTATACATGAAGGAAGGAAGATAAGACAGGAGAGGGAAGAATACAGAGAGAGACAGACAGACGAGGTATTGCACTTGACGTTCAGGGTCGTCCACACTCGACAAACTCTCTGACACTCACACACTTCCATACACATGGAGCTCACAGAGTGGAAAGGTCAACAATGTCATGATATAATTAGTGACGTGGAAATTACAGATTTGGTTTAAATGAGACCTGATTCAATAATGAATGAATTAATGGTAAATGCTGAACTTGTACAACACGTACTTCACTCAAGCTGTGACACACAGTACCATATATCCTGATATGTCTGAAAGTGTAAAAATACTGTAGCACACTAACACTTTTCAGACTTCATTCTACGAGGGATACAGCATACAGTAACATCCCCAGACATAATCACAACAAAGGGAATACTTGAGCACATCTTGCAATGGGTCTACTCGGGGTGAAACGATACA